AAATAGTTGCTTTCCCAAATTATAAGAAAACCTTCCCATATTCTTAAGGATTGTTGATCTTCTACTATTTTTTTAGTAGGGCACACAATTCTAAAACACTGCTTTTCATTTTTAAAACTAAAGACTGGAGCACCTGGGTGGCTCAATGGGTTGAACATTTGACTTTGGCTCAGGTCATGATCTGACAGTTCATGAGTCCCGAGTTGGGCTCTGTGCTGACAGCTCAGAGCTTGGAGCCTGCTTTGGATTCTGTGTCTCCCTCTCTCGCTGCCCTTACACTCTGTCTCTCTTTCTCTCTCTCTCAAAAATAAATAAATATTAAAAAAATAAGAAAAAACCTAAAGACCAATTTATGGGTTGTATGGATATAAATATATTTGCATAAACATGTATTAAAATATGATAGTTTTAGAGATGTAGAGAAAGGGGTGTAAAATAGATTAATATAGTTATAATTACCAAGCAGGAAGTTATAACTTACTGGATTTTTGGCCAGTTTGTTGAAAAAGCCATGCATATGCGTTGGTCTTTCTGTAAGAAAATAGACCAGTCAGGTTAAAGCACTGTGAAAGTTTTGTAGAAATGTTAGATGGCATTTAGAATGTGGACTTGTCAAGATTGCTTGTTGTGGCCTCTCTGCTGACCTCCATAAAGCATGATGATAATTAAGCATGGACTGCAAGGTCGGAGCCCAATTTTCAAGAATGCCTCAGGCTTTCCTCTGAGGCTTTGCCCTGAACTCAGGGCAGTTCTCTGTGCCAGAGGAAACGGACAGAAACTGTATTTTGTAAAATATAAGAAGGGTTTTCTGCATTCGGATGGGCTAGTTACATGTAGGATGGGGCTGCCATCCCTAGATTACCCGGCTTAAAGTTACCAAGGTTCCCAAGGCACCTGGTAAGACCAGAACAGATGTTTCTCCTCGCTGCTGTTACCCCAGACCTGGGAGACCCATTTAGCATGAACTCTTTTTTCCTAGTGTAAGTTAAGACTTTAATTCCAGCCTTATCCATTTATCAGATTTTATTCTTGACTTTATAATACCCTGAGTACTCTTCATTCTGGTCCCCACCCTCAGTTTCTCAGACTTGGCAACTAGATCACAGGCTTTGCTCATCCTGTCATACAAATCTCATTTGTATGGTCTGGTGGCTCTGTTGCCTGCCTTCAACACTTTAGATACAGCAGCCTTGTATGCAAAACAGGAAACTGATTATTTAATTGAAGAGTTGACTTTTTCTCAGCTTTAATCTGGGCAAAGGAATGTCTAACCCAAACAAAATAAACTCTAAGTACTAGCTTCTATATATTCAGCACAAGATTCAAGTTGAAATAATAGTATTTGATGTATTAGGGAATTTTAGCCTATTTGTCTGTCACCCAGATCTGATTAGGAAGTTTTAATTCTAAATCAGAAGGTCCCTAAAATACTTTTATTCCTTTTCATGACCCAGTCTGTCTCACTGTGAGACATATATATTATTGGTAATATTTCCCATAATTCTCTTTTAAACTTTGTTTCCTTTGTCAATGGATATTTTCTTTAATTGAATTTTACAGCAAATTATTTAAATGAGTATAGGAAATTATTTGAGTGACAGCTAATGAATGCCAATAAATTTCCTTCTCATATTGATAGATATGCAATCTATTATTTACTTTTTTAAAAAATGCCTAGTTCTTCATTTTATACTTATAATTTTTTTTTCTCACACATGTATGTTTGTCATTTTGTTCATACTGTAGTAATCCAATTGATGGGTTGACAAAGAAATTTTGCTAATTATTAAAACATGGTCACATGTTTTCCTGGGATGATCAAAGCTAGTGGCTTTAATGAGGCTTATGGATTGAATTATACATGTAACCTTTGTTTTTTTCATTTCTTTAGGAAATACAGAGTCTGCTCTACTCTCCCCTTTGCATTGCCGTCACATATCACTTCAAGGAATAGTGACTAGGCTTAAAAATTCCACGGATAATCCAAATAAATCTGTTCAATTTGGCATCTATCAACAGGTAAAATTATACTTTTAATTCCTATTTTTTCTGATTATTTCCACAAACAAAAGGAAAAAGACACAACAGCTATAAGTTGTGTAAAATATTAACAGAATTGTGCACAGGAAACTAACGAGACCATTGAGTGTGTGAATTGGATCTGACTTAATCAACTCAGGAGTTTTTTAATACCGAACAGGTTGGGGGCACCTGCATCCGACTTTGACCCAGGTCATGATCTTGTGGTTTGTGAGTTCGAGCCTCGCATCTGGCTCACTGCTGTCAGCACAGAACCCACTTGGATCCTCTGTCCCCCTTTTTCTCTGTCCCTCCCCTGCTCACGCACACGCTCTAAAATAAATAAACATTAAAAGAAATAATGAACAGGTGAAAGTGGAATATTTCAAGGGCTAATTGGTTAGGCTGTACTTTGTAATGATTTAGTTAAGAGATCATGAGATACCAATTTATATGGAAAAAACTAAACAGCTAGGAGATAAGAAAGTGAAGAGGTATAAATGGTGCCTCTCAACCTGGAGTATGTGGTTATAATTAAAATCGAGCAAATGTGTTGTAAACAGATAACAAAAGATCGCATACTAAGATAAACTGGTGAAAAAATAACAATACAAAACAAGGATTGAGGAGAAAAAATATTTCAGTCATATAATCCTTTTTTGTTAAAAATTTTTATTTTTGAGAGAGAGAGAGAGAGCGCACATAAGCAGGGGAGGCGCAGAGAGGAAGAGAGAGAGAATCCCAAGCAGGTCCCATGCTGTCCACATGGAGCCTGACTCGGGCTTTATCCCATGAGCTGTGAGGTTATGACCTGAGCCAAAATCAAGAGCCAGATGGTTAACTGATGAGCCACCTATGCCACCTATATAATCCTTTTTTTAAGGGCCTTTATGAGCATAGATTCCTGTCTATACAATAGAAATCCTAACATCAACCTAGCTTATTAGTAAATTTCAGTATTCATATTCATAACATGATTTGAATATTAGTAAATTTCAATATTCATATTGATATAATGCTTAATGATTTAAAAGTGTATTTAAGATTATTTAGAAATGTTATTTTTGAAATGATAAAACAAATCATTCAGTTGTATTTCTGAGTGTTTACAATAGCAGATGTAATAAAAACTGTAATAGTTTAAACTCATGAATTAATAATGAAAGACAGATTCTTTTATGCAAACAGGAAAATTGCAGAGAACTGCTCTACCTATTTTAGGTTTCATTTTTATCATTCTTCCTATGTGAATTTCTGAAAGCAAAGTCCTTCAGTATAACTATCAGCAGATTATAAAATTTTAGAATTTAGACTATTTTCATTCAAAATCTAAATAAAAAACACATATAAAAGATCACTGAAAGTATCCCTGATGTAATCTGACATTAAAATAAAAAATCTGTCTCTGTTTTTATAGATATATGTTTAGTTTTTTGGTAGGTTTTCTGAAAACAGGTGGCAAAATTAGTTTTTATTAACTCATTTCCAACATTATTTTACTAACAGAAAATTGCTTCTCTCTCTCCTCTGCATTGCAATTGAAATATGTTCACAAATAACATGAGAGTTGTAATAAGAAGACACTGAGAAAGGCTGGCAATTGCAGCAAAAGCTAAGCAAACAGCTTTACAAAGAAACATTGATGTTAGGCAACCAAGGTGTTTTAAAGTTAACTTCAGTTGTATTAAGTATGTGTGATCATTTCTTCCACAGGAGAGTGGGTGCTATGTACCATAAAGTTAGCAGTTAAGTGTTCCTAGTCATATCCAGAGAGAAAGTCCTTTCTTTTAACAAACAATAACATGCCATTCATCTGTTTGAAAGAATTTCATTGCTATGAAAAAAATGCATAAAATATATCATTCATTAAATGGTAGCACCATTTTGAGAAGAGTGGTAATGTTAATTCATTAAAACCATGTAATTTCTAATGCTATGAGTCTAGAAAACAGATGCATGTGAAATATTTTTAAGGGTTCTCAATTATTAAAAGAAAAATTCTAAAATGTATCTAATCTAATATTTCTACTAATTTAAAAATCTATTCTTTAAAATCTATCAGATTTAATACATGGTCCTTTAAAAATTTTTTTTAATGTTTATTTGTTTTTGACAGAGAGAGAGAAACAGAGTGCAAGCAGGGGAGGGGCAGAGAGAGAGGGAGACACAGAATCTGAAACAGGCTCCAAGGCTCTGCGCTGTCAGCACAAAGCCTGACATGGGGCTTGAACTCAAAGACTGCGAGATCATGACCTGAGCTGAAGTTGGACGCTTGAACCAACTGAGCCACCCAGTTACCCCATACATGGTCCTTTTTAAACTTTGTAAAGAAAATACTATTTTGGATTAAAAATGTAATCTGGGTTTTCTTTTTAAGTTTTTATTTATTTACTTCAAGAAAGAAAGCACAAGTGGGGAAGGAACAGAGAGAGAGGGAGAGAGAGAGAGAATCCCAAGCAGGCTCCACAGTGTCAGCCCAGAGCCCAAAGCAGGGCTCGAACTCATGAACTGGGAGATCACCACCTGAGTGGAAATCAAGAGTCAGACACTTAACCTACTGAGCCGCCTGGGACGCTCAACCAACTGAGCCACACAGGAGTCCCCAAATGTATTCTGTTTTTAAGTGATAATAGCTCTGTTTTTACTATGTTTAGAAATCAGATTGAGATAGCTTTTATTTTGGAGTTGGTACTTCAGTATAGAACTGAAACCGTTGAGTAATTTTTATTTCTGTAAGTGAATTAAATGGTTTCAACTTTTAGCCCATAGCAAAGTGACATACCTCATTCCATTTTTTTTGTTAATTTTCTGAGTATAAGCGTATTAAAAAGTATTCATGCAAAGTTATATAATTGTAGCTATAACTGGAATATACTATTTTGGTGATTATCAAGAGTAATGTATGAAAATGGAAATATGGTTTCAACTGTTATTTCATTTTCTTTAAACAGGTTATTTGAATTTCAAATAGAGGAGCAGACATGCCACCCCCAGCAGGTGCCCCACTGCATCCACCTCCTGATGGAGGATGGGGCTGGGTAGTGGTTGGAGCATCTTTTATCTCCATTGGATTTTCATATGCGTTCCCCAAAGCAGTCACGGTGTTCTTCAAAGAAATTCAGCAAATATTCAACGCTACCTACAGTGAGATAGCCTGGATATCATCCATTATGCTGGCTGTTATGTATGCAGGAGGTAAGGTTTCTGGTAATAAATGGAATTGCCAATTAAGAAAACAATTCTTCCATACCACAGTGTTTTACATGTAGTGTCTTGGTGTATATATTGTCACTTTAAACCGATCAAACATATAATTCCAGATGAATTCTTAATAATTTTGTTGATTCCACCTCTTGAACTATTCACCTGAATCTGAGTATTACTAGAGTATTTATTTGAACGATAATTTCTTTGAACAAACTAAGATTCACTAAATTATAGAATTTCCAAGGGAGCTACCTTTCCATTTAATTTGGAGTGAAGTCTATACTGTAGTGTCAGTATCATTTCCTACCACTGCTACAGTTGGTAGAAATGCTTTCTTCTTAATGAGAAATAACCTACAATTGCTGACAATCTATAAGCCTAGGAAGTACTTCACTTTCAGCTGCAAAAAATGGAGTGTTATCAGTACATTCTGGATCCATTCAGGTTTGTGTGATCAAAATAATTCCTTATCTCTGTCGTACTCATTAAATATGACAGGTTTTGGGGCGCCTGATGGCGCAGTCGGTTAAGCGTCCGACTTCAGCCAGGTCACGATCTCGCGGTCTGGGAGTTCGAGCCCCGCGTCAGGCTCTGGGCTGATGGCTCAGAGCCTGGAGCCTGTTTCCGATTCTGTGTCTCCCTCTCTCTCTGTCCCTCCCCCGTTCATGCTCTGTCTCTCTCTGTCCCAAAAATAAATAAACGTTGAAAAAAAAATTAAAAAAAAAAAATAATGACAGGTTTTAATTTAATTTTAATTTGCCTGAAAATTATCTCGTTACATTCCTTGTTTAAATGAGGGTAAGATTCATGAAGGATAAAAAATAAAACAAAGTACCGTATCAATTCTGAATATTTTTTAAAAAATGGAATTATTTGTGCATTATTATGTAAATTATTTTCTTTAAATCAATCTCAACAGCAGACTAGACTGTCTCTAATTTTTTTAAGTCATTACTTAAAATATTTAGGTTTTCGAGTTTTCATTTTTCAACTGGATACTTGATTTTAAGATACAGATGTAGGCTTAGAATATAAGCACTAAGAGAAACCATACAAATCATTTAGCACAGTTTCTTACTTGGCAGTTGAAGGTAATATGGCTCATTAGTGATAGGGAGATACCATTAGAAATAATATTCAACATTTATTAGTATTTACTTTCACATAAGTTCTCTCTAAACGCTTGTTATGTATCATATGATTTAATCCTCTTAACAATATGTGAAATAGGTATTATTTTCTCTCCATTATATAACTGAGGAAATCAAGACATAAAATAGTTTCCCAAGACAGACAGCTCATTAGTGGCAGATGGAAATTGAGGCTCAAAACATTGTCACTATGCTCTTATGCCTTTCTCATTTCTTCCTCTCTGCCTCTAGAAAGTGATAGAGCCAGATCTAGGCCAGGCCTTCTACTGACCTGCTTCAGTGATACCTCCACCGAGGTCATTTGTCAATGGCATATGATTATTCTGTAGGATATTGGGTCTTTAGTGTGCTACCGAGGTGAAAATTTTATCCTCCAATAATCCTGTGTGTGTGTGTGTGTGTGTGTGTGTGTGTGTGTGTGTGTATGTATGTGTGCACCTGTGTGCTCATGTTGATATGTGTTTTCCATTTTCTATATGTCACTGATTTTACATTATTCCAGTTTGCCTTTCTTAGCTTTTTAGTTAGGTTAAATTGCTGCATTTTTTGTTCTGGTACCAAAAGGAATCTTTAAAATGCTACTTGGGGGGCGCCTGAGTGGCCCAGTCGGTTGAGCGTCCGACTTTGGCTCAGGTCATGATCTCGCGGTCTGTGAGTTTAAGCCCCGTGTCGGGTTCTGTGCTGACGGCTTAGACCCTGGAGCCTGCTTCGGATTCTGTGTCTCCCTCTCTCTCTGCCCTTCCCCTGCTCATGCTCTGTCTCTCTCTCTCTGTCAAAAATAAATAAACATTTAAAAAAATTAAAATGCTACTTGGGTAGATCAGTGAAAACTTCTGCTTCTAAAACACTTTCTGAGTATCTCCTTTGGACAGTTACTTTAAGGAATATAATTATAGTACTTCTGATGACTATAGAAACAGTAGATACTGTGCACCCTGTCTTGTTCCTCTGGCAGAGGGTCAGGTGTTCTTTAATAACACTTCACTAGAACTACACACAAATTCCTCTTGTCCTGAGCTACAAAATGTGCTAATGTTAAGATATGAATTTTTTCCCCTTCTTAAATACAAATGAAACAGATTCCTCTAGAAGTCCATTGAATTTGAACATCATAATTTTTTGTTGAATAGGTAGTTGACTAACTCACAAGCAAGACAAAAAATTGTATAACTTTTAGATTAACTCAAGTCTTGACTTTATTACTTTTAAGCAAATAACCCAAAAATCCCAGTGCCTCAAAGGAATACATGTTTATTTATTGCTCAAGCAATGTTTCATCTAGTGGCTCTGCCATCACCTGAGACTTTGTGGTGTTTCTAAAATCTGTTCCATTTGTCTGGAGAGAATGAACACAGACATCATGGAAGAACATGTGGAGATATTTTAGGGCCAGGCCTGGAAAGGATAAATAGCACTTCTGTAATATTCCACTGGTCAGAATTTGTGTGTGTGTGTGTGTGTGTGTGTGTGTGTGTGTGTGTGTGTGTGTTTCAAAATTTTATGTAAATCCAAGTTTGTTAACATAGTGTAATAATGGTTTCAGTAGTAGAGTTCAGTGATTCATCACTTACATATAACACTCAATACTCATCCCATCAAGTGCCCTCCTTAATCCCTTCACCCATTTAGCCCATCCCCCCACTCACAACCCCTTACAGCAACCCTCAGTTTGTTCTCTTTGTTTAAGAGTCTTTTATGATTTGCCTCCCTCTCTATTTTATCTTATTTTTCCCTCCCTTCCCTTATGTTCATGTTTTGTTTCTTAAATTCCACATATGAGTGAAATCATACGATATTTCTCTGACTTATTTCACTTAGCATAATACGCTTTTATTCCATCCATATTGTTGCAAACGGCAAGATTTCATTCTTTCTAATCATTGAGTAATATTCCATCGTGTATATATATATATATATATATATATATATATATATATATATATATATACACCACATTTTCCTTATCCATTCGTCAGTCGATGGACATCTCGGCCTTTCCTTAATTTGACTAGTGTGGATAGTGCTGTTATAAACATTGGGGTGCATGTTCTCCTTTGAAACAGCATAAGCGTATCCTTTGGATAAATACCTAGTAGTGCAATTGCTGAATCATAGGATAGTTCTATTTTTAACTTTTTGAAGAACCTCCATATTTTCCAGAATGGCTGTGGCAGTTTGCATTCCCACTAATAGGGCAAAAGTGTTCCCCTTTCTCCGCATCCTCACCCACATCTGTTGTTGTCTGAGTTGCTCCTTTTAGCCATTCTGACAGGTTTGAGGTGGTATTTCATTGTGGGTTTGATTTGTATTTCCCTGATGCTGAGTGGTATTGAGCATCTTTTCATGTGTCATTTGGCCATCTAGATGTCTTCTTCAGAAAAGTATCTCTTTGTGTCTTTTGACCATTTCTTCACTGGATTATTTGTTTTTTTTGGTGTTGAGTTTGGTAAATTCATTATAGATTTTGGATACTAACCTTTTATCAGATGTCACTTGCATATATCTTCTCTCATTCCATCGGTTGCCTTTCAGTTTTGTTCATTGTTTCCTTACCTGTGCAGAAGCTTTTTATTTTGTTGAGGTCCCAATAATTCATTTTTGCTTTTGTTTCCCTTGCTTCCAGAGATGTGTCTAGTAAAAAATTGTTGTGGCTGAGGTCAAAGAGTTTGTTGACTGTTTTCTGTGCTAGGATTTTGCTGGTTTCCTGTCTTACATTAGGTCTTTCATCCATTTTGAATTTATTTTTGTGCAGAGTGTAAGAAAGTGGTCCAGTTCATTTTTCTGCATGTCCATGTCCAGTTTGCCCAATACCATTTGCTAAAGGACTGTCTTTTTTCCATTGGTTATTCTTTCCTGTATTGTAGAAGGTAAGTTGGCCATATATCTGTGGGTCCATTTCTGGGTTCTCTATTCTGTTCCATTGATCAATGTGTCTGTTTTTGTGCCACTACCATACTGTTTTCATGATTACAACTTTGTAATACAGCTTGATGTCCAGAATTGTCATGCTTCCAGTTTTGGTTTTCTTTTTCAGTGTTTCTTCTTTCTTTTTTAATATGAAATTTATTGTCATATTGGTTTAAATACAACACCCAGTGCTCATCCCAGCAGGTGCCCTCCTCAATGCCCATCACCCAATTTCCCCTCCTTCCCACCCCCCATCAACCCTCAGTTTATTCTCAGTTTTTAAGAGTCTCTTATGGTTTGCCTTCCTCCTTTTCTAACTTTTTTCCCCCCTTCTCCTTCCCTATGGTCTTCTATTAAGTTTCTCAGGATCCACATAAGAGTGAAAACATACGGTATCTCTCTTTATCTGTATGACTTATTTCATTTAGATAACACTCTCCAGTTCCATCCACGTTGCTACAAAAGGCCATATTCCATTCTTTCTCATTGCCAACTAGTATTCCATTGTGTATATAAACCACAACTTCTTTATCCATTCATCAGTTGATGGACATTTAGGGTCTTTCCACAATTTGGCTATTGTTGAAAGTGCTGCTATAAACATTGGGGTACAAGTGCCCCTGTGCATCAGCATGCCTGTATCCCTTGGGTAAATTCCTAGCAGTGCTATTGCTGGGTCATAGGGTAGATCTATTTTTAATTTTTCAGGAGCCTCCACACTGTCTTCCAGAGCAGCTGCACCAGTTTGCATTCCCACCAACAGTGCAAAAAGGTTCCTGTTTCTCCACATCCTCGCCAGCGTCTATAGTCTCCTGATTTGTTCATTTTAGCCACTCTGACTGGCATGAGGTGGTATCTCAGTGTGGTTTTGATTTGTATTTCCCTGATGAGGAGTGATGTTGAGCATCTTTTCATGTGTCTGTTGGCTGT